TGCCTGCCTCTCTGCCTACCTGTGATCTGTCAAACAAAAAATAAAATCTTTAAAAAACGAAAAATTCTGGCTGGAATCATTGATTCCAGTTATGTATCATTGTCTTGGATATTCTGCCTCTGACTCAAATAGAAAGGTCTAAAAACAATACACAAATAACATACATGCTACACACATATAGACACAAATGCACTCACTTGGAAGAAAAAAATTATCTTTTTTCCCACCTAAGATCACCCTTTTTGAACTACCTAAATCAATGGGGTCCATCACTGCCTCTTACCTATCATTTTTTTATTCTAGCTTATCTAATCATCTTTCATGATGTCTTTTCTATTTGTCTCTTTTCTACCTTCTACCATGAAGATCATTTCGGCACATGGGATCACCTTACTATTTAACAGCCTTCCTGCTTCCAGTCTCTTTCCATCCTCCAAAATCAGTCTGACGTTATAGGTGGATCAACCTACCTAACTTGTCACTCTTATCTTCAAAAAGCTTTTAAAGGGTCAATAATAATGCCAAATATTTAGCTATTTTAGAACTTAAAAAATTGGCTTCATGTGCCTGTCTAACCTATCTTCTCCAGTACTTAAAATCTATTCTATGTCCAATGGAAAAAAGCCTCTGCAACAAACGGTTTTGGGAAAATTGGACATCAACATGCCGAAGAATGAAACTATACCATTTCCTTACACCACACACAAAAACAGACTCAAAATGGATGGAAGACATCAATATGAGACAGGAATCTATCAAAATCCTTGAGGAGAGCACCGGCAGCAACTTCTTCCTAGAAACATTGCCAAAGGCAAGGGAAGCAAGGGCAACATTGGGACTCCATCAAGATAAAAAGCTTTTTGCAAAGCAAACAGTCAACAAAACCAAAAGACAACTGAAGAATGGGAAAAGGTATTTGCAAATTATCAGACAAAGGGCTAGTATCCAAAATCTATAAAGAACTTATCAAACGTAACACCCAAAGAACAAATAATCCAATCATGAAATCAGCAGAAGACAAGAAGAGACATTTCTGCAAAGACAACCAAATGGCCAAGAGACACATGAAAAAGTGCTAAATTAAACATCATGGCATCAAGGCAATACAAATCAAAACCACATGGAGATACCACGTCACACCAGTAAGAATGTCTAAAGTTAATCAGTCAGGAAATGACAGGTGTTGGCGAGGACACAGAGAAAGGAGAACCCTCCTACATTGTTGGTGGGAATGCAAGCTGGTGCAGACGCTCTGCAACACAGTATGGAGGTTCCTCAGAAAGTTGAAAATAGAGCTACCCTACCACCCAGCAATCGCACTACTGGGTATTTACCCTAAAGATACAAATGTAGTGATCCGAAGGGGCACATGCACCCAAATGTTTGAGAGCAATGTCCACAACAGCCAAACTATGGAAAGCAGCTAGATGTCCATCAACAAATGAATGGTTATTTTATTTATTTATATATATATATATATATATGCCTAAAAGTATATATAATGGAATTCTATGCAACCATAAAAAAGAAACGTAATCTTGCCATTTACAACTACGCAGATGGAACTAGAGTATTATGTTAAACAAAATAAGTCAATCACAGAAAAACAATTATCATATGATCTCTATGATATGAGGAAGTTGGGGGCGGGGAATGAGACAAGATGGGACCTGGGAGGGAGACAAACTGTAAGAGACTCAATCTCAGGAAACAAATTGAGGGCTGCTGGGTTGTGGGAGGGATAGGGTGACTGGGTGATAAAACACTGAGGAGGGTTATGTGTTATAGTGACTGCTGTGAATTGTCTAAGACTGATGATTCACAGACCTGTACCCCTGAAACAAGTAATACATTATATGCTAATAAAATAAAAAATTGAAAAAAAAATAAAAAATAAAATCTATTCTAGAAGGGCCTAGCTGGCTCATCTCATATAGCAAGTGACCTTGATCTTGGGGTTTTGAGTTCAAGCCTCATGTTGGGTGTAGAGAGCACTTCAAACAAACAAACCAATGAACAATAAAGTCTATTCTAAAAAAACCCTCAACTATTGTTTCCTCAAGCTACCCCAGCACTGTACATCTAAAGAGAATAGCAAACAATCCAGTGAAATTATTTATGCAGCTTCCCAAATGCAAATATTTAAGCTTTTATTTGCTTTTAACTCATCATGCCATTTCACATTTTGGTCTACTTTTTATCATTCCCTACACCTGTAGACTAAACTCACTCCTACAGACTAAGCTCAAGCCACAATAAACTACTAGACTTTCTCTAACATATTCTGTTATTTCAGAGTCTTGCTTCTATATACACTGTCCTGACTCTACACTATCTTTTCCCATTCTCTGCTCTGTAACTGTGTAACTCCAATGAAACATCATCTCTCCTGTGGAATTTCCCAGTTCCCACAAACACCTTTGCTCCCGATGCACTTGTGTACAGTTCCATAATAGGACTGATTAACACTGTACTGGAATTATTTGTTTCTATGTCTTGATATTTTCAGAATCTACAGATACTTTGAGGCACACAGAGCACAATTAAGAGTGTTTTAAAAGACCTTCTGGAATTGCCATATTATTCTAGTTACCGCCATTCAAGTATACTATATGAAGAAAAAACACATGCATCACAGTTAAGAGCTCAGATTCTGAAGCCAGGCTATTTATGCATGAATTCTAGATCTATCCCTTATTAACTGTGTGGCACTGGACAAATTAACCTCTCTTTGTTTTGGCTTCCTTCTTTGTAAAAGGAAGATAATAGCATTTGCCTTCTGAGAGAATTAATATGGGCAAAGTGCTCAGAATCATGACTGGCACAAATTAAGTATTACATACCATTGGCTATCTTAATTAACATACCGTCTACATAGACCTCTATTTGGCTTGAGTTTCCTTCATTTATCTCTATCCAAATCTCACGAAGGTTTCAAGTTTGACTTCTGCTCAATCCTTTGATTATTCCAACCTTTAAATAATCACTCCCTAATTTAATTATCTATAGTAGTCTCTGTATCATTCTACATTTCTACATTCTACATATCTGTATCATTCTAATTAAAACTGCCTCACATAATTTTTCATAAATCTGCCAGCCCAATTTCTGTAAACTCTATAAATGTCCTAGGAATACCTTATATGTCTTTGTGAATTCCTGTAGCCAGCAGTAAGTCCTTAGTATTTGTTGTGTGAAAAGAGTAGAAACTTCAACTCTGATCATACAACCTTTGCAATCAAAGAAATGGAGAAGACTGTGAGAACATTCCACACTTATCCAGGAGCCAGACTGCAAATGTATTAGAACTAGGGAGTCCTGATATGTTAAAATGAAAAACTCTAGCTTCTATAGGGGGAAAAAAAAAAAAACCCTCTCTGAGGATCAGTTTCAAGTCCGCAAGTTCCCAAACTGTACTGGTGGATCCTTTACAAGAATTTCGTCAGCATGACAAAATGACCAACTGAGATTACAGGATTTGGATTACACAGATCTAGGTATCACAGGGATGCGGTCCCTCAGTTTCCTTCTCTATAAAGAATATTGCAACTTTTTACTTCATAGGTGTATGTAATAATCAACCCTTACCTAACATTAACTGAAGTGCAAATTCCCTTGGAAAAAATTATTAAATAAACTGAAAACACTGCATCTCATAAATGAAAACGTGAAAGAACACTGCATGTTTTTCATTACATAAGAAAATATATTAACTTAGCTGGCAGTATTTATAATATTCAAAATTACCTATGAGAAACTTAAACATGTATAGCATTGCCAATTAGAGAGACTTGAGGGAAAAATTCCACTATAAAACTTATTCTTTTTCTCACTTTCTCCATCCTATAATTTTCTTCTTCCACTTGTGATTAAAAACAAGTGTTCAAAACAACCCCTCAAAAGAAACAGCTGGAAAACATGATTCAACTTAGTATCAAGTTGGTTCCATAAACGTATAATTCCATTTACAGCTAAAATACTTCCAAGTGAAAATTATCAGTAATCTAAGAAATTAAGATAATGGCGAACACAGCTCAGATAATGATCTGAGCCAGGAATTTCAAATTAAGAGTTGTTCCAACTTGAAGCTGGCAGTCACACAGTCTAAAGGGTTTGTTTACAGCAGTGACTTAACCAAAGACTCCAATCTTTTAGAAGTCACCCTGGCATTCTAATCACTAATTATTTCCTAGCAGCGTTAACTGATGAAAATGCCAATACTACACAAATTAAACCAAAATGGGTGTTCTTCTGAAGGGAAAAATTCCTAAAAAACCAAAATGGCAAGTCTTAATTCTAACCTGTGATATTTTTTTTCAGTTGGAGTTATGAATAAAATGCTGTTCATCTACTGAAAAACAGAAGAACCTTGCCACTTGGAATAACCTTTAAGCTTGGGGGAGGGGTGAGCTTTTAAAGATGGATTTGGTGCTTCTCAAATACAGCGTTACGTGGGATACATGTTAAGAGATACATGTAAAGGCATATGTAAGAGATAAAAATAGAAAAAAACTCATTTAGTTTAAAATATTTTAATTAAAATGAACTTTCAACCATCTTGAAACACTAACTTCACGATGAAAAGATGGCTTTAGTGAAGAGATACTGATTTCCAGGTAGAAAAAAATGAATCAAGTGCGGGGCTAGTGCAAATTAAGGGGAGATAGAAAAGGGCAAAAAGTGGGGATTTGGGGGCGTGGGCCAAAGAAGGGTGTGTGGGTGTGTGCGCGCGCTGAAGTAAGGTCTGCGCTTATGGTTGAGAAATATAGGTGACAAACTTGTAGAAATCAAATTCAGAGGTGTGTGAACACGGAAAGGAAGGAGGAATGTGGGGGATTTCCAGGCTGGACTAACAAGTTTGGGACGCGCACATTATTGGGGTGCCCCTCTTCCGGGGAAAGGTGGCCCCCTCGAGTGCCTGGTCTCCAGGCCCCAACACCCCCGACCCGGCCCTACCCTCCCGCTACGCGGCCCTTCACTCGGCCACGGGATCTCCTCACCTCAGGCCGCGGCGCCTCGCTCATCCGCGTCTGTAGAGCGACGACTCCCTCCGCCCCAGGCCTGGCCGGGCCAGTCGGCCGCCCAGTCGCGGTCCCCGGCTCAGCTGCGCCCGGGCGTTCCCCGCGCGAATCCGCGGGCCACTCCAGTCCTCGCTTCAGCTCCGGCTGGCTCCCGGTTCTTTCCCGCAGACGCGGCACGCGGCCCTACTCCCCCGGCGGGGCGTTGCGCCCCCGACCCCGCCCCGCAGCGCCCTCGCCGCGCCCCGCCCCCGGGTTTAGGGACTGTATGCTCATTGGCTCCAGCGAGACCCGGCGCGCTAGGATATTGGCCAGGCGGTAACCCGACGGCGAAGGGGCGGGACTCCAGTCTGCTGCAATTCCCGTAACGCTGCTCCTGGCGTCCGGGATTCCGGCGGTTGCGCCCGCGTCGCCTTTCCTAGACCGGATCGAAGGGTTCCCCCCACCTCTTCTCCGCGGGCGGAAGGAGCGGAATGTTCCATTTTTCCAGGGAATAACGGGGTCGTGAACTGGAGCCCGGGTACTTTGTACGCTTGCCGCTCTCCCTTCTCGCTGCGGTCCCGCGGCCTTGGTTCGCGGCCTTCCCCGAGGGACTCAGAGCCGCGAGGGACCGCCGGGCTCCCTCGGGGACAGGGGAGGCGTGGGAGTTTCTCGGGAGAAGTGAAGGACTCGATGGTCGTGACTTCACACGAGATGCCTGCAGATCGTGGTGGCGGCGGTCTCGGTCTAAGGCATGCATAAATGAACCTTGCCAGGATATGTATTTTTTTTTTTAAGATTTTATTTATTTATCTGACAGATCACAAGCAGGCAGAGAGGCAGGCAGAGAGAGAGGAGGAAGCAGGCTCCCCTAGAGAGCAGAGAGCCCGATGCGGGGCTCGATCCCAGGACTCCGAGATCACGACCTGAGCCGAAGGCAGCGGCTTAACCCACTGAGCCACCCAGGCGCCCCAGGATATGTATTTTTTAAGTTACTAAATGAGTTTGTTTGCGATTGATCAGTGAACCCAGAGGTGGTGTGACATGCCAAGAAACTAGTTCTTTGCGGTTTGTACCTCCCAATCTGTGATAAAAATACCTAGCAAAAACTAATTTCATTACATACCTCCCTTGCCTGAGAAATGGACTTTCAGGCTCGCTGTGGTTTTTTTTTTCCCCCAAAGCAAGATGAGAAACATTTGGGGGTGGGTGTGTGTGTGTGTGTGTGTGTGTGTGTGTGTGTGTTAGTTAAACACCCGAGGCCAGGGCCTTCTGTGGAAGAATGGCAGGCTGTAGGAGGGCAATAATGGCTTAATGGACTTGAACAAATTATACCCATAAATTAAACAATTACAAAATTTTTCATTATATTGAGGATTCAGAAAGAGGAAAACACAACAAATTATGATCTCTTAGTTGTTGATGAAGTACTTTGGAAAAGAAACAGAAAAGCGGGTCTAGTGATAAAGGAGTCCTAAGCAAACCTGGGGATGTGCTGTAAGACAGACAAAGCTACACTGTATTCAGCTCTTGGGGCTCCCTGTCATGCTACAGCTAACCTACAGTGGGACTGGATTGTATTCTAGGTCGGCCATTTACAGGGATGTTTAAAACAAACGTATAAAATTTAAATTGTTTATTTAGATCTAGCAAACATTTATTTAGAGGAATGTATGGTGGTTAAGTGTACTTAACTTTCTGGTTGCAAATTCCCTGAGTTTGCATCCTAGTGCTGCCACTTCCTATGTCTGTAATGGTAGGCAAGTCATCTCGGTTTCTTTATCTGCAAAATGAGAATAATGGTTCACCCTAATGGGATTGCTGCAAAGGTTAAATGAGTTAAAATACATGAGACTCTCAGTATATAGTAGGTGCTCAATAAATATCAGCTGTTCGTGGATGACTGTTATGTCAGTGCTTCCCAAACCTTTTGCATCAAAGCATATAATGAAAATGATGATATTTCACCAGTACAGGGAATAAACATGGAGGGAATCAATATCTCACAGCACACTAGTCTGCCTTGTGCGCTGGTCAAGAGAGCAAACGACTGAGTCAGTCCTTCTGTGGGTATCTATGTATTGGCCTAACCCAGCCCTAACTTCTTTTTTTTTTTTTTTTAAGATTTTATTTATTTATTTGACAGACAGAGATCACAAGTAGGCAGAGAGGCAGGCAGAGAGAGGGGGGGGAAGCAGGCTCCCTGCTGAGCAGAGAGCCCGATGTGGGGCTCGATCCCAGGACCCTGGGACCATGACCCGAGCCAAAGGCAGAGGCTTTAACCACTGAGCCACCCAGGCGCCCCCCAGCCCTAACTTCTAAGAAACTCACGTTTTGTGGGGATGACTAAAGTCCTGGGCTAAAAGGATGAATCAATATTGGAGAAAGATTTTTCAAAACAGAAAAAGCCCTTCCCCCCACTTGGCTGGAATTATATGAGTTTGCAGGCCACCTCTTTACGGTATTGGCCCTCAAATGACCACTTTTCAGTTAAGGATTTGTCATGAGAAAACTGTCAAGATGCAACAGTAAGTGGGAAAAATGACATATCAATCAAGAACTTTCCATGTATGCCTTAGGATCATTTTGGATTTCACATATATCAAAAGCAGAGAGTGGGGAATTGTACAGTGAGAGAGCAATATGAGGACAGTGAGGTTACTCAGAGCAGGTGAACAGAGCCAGGAAAAAAATGCTACATAACAAAGGTAATCTGTGCTGAAGAACAATTTTGCCTGCTCACTATTTGCATACAGTTGGCAGTGACCAAGACAGCCATTTACTTCCTTGCCTGTGCCCTACTGTGTTTCTGAAACTCTGTGTCAGCCTTGGAAGGATCTGCATGTCCTGCCCCAGCCTAATGATTTCAGCATCCATGATAATGACTCAGAACCCTGACCTCACCATTTCTCATCTTTCTCTTTTCCAATCATCTTCATCTCTGTCAGAAGCCCACAGATGTAGTCACTCCTTGAATCCAGTCCTCAAATGAAATTATTCCACCTGCAACATTTTCAATTGTTAAGATTCTCTACCCACAACTACCTACTCTTGTATCTCTTTTACTCGCTCTCTCCCACTGAGTCTATGGTTTGTCCTCGGTGTGACCTCCAGTCTTTGTTCTGAGAGTTTATCAGTTATGTCCTACCTTTGCTTATCTCCCTAAATTGTGGGAACCCTTTTATCGACTTTTTAAACTGCACTGTCACTAGTATTTTCAATTCCCTTGACTTTCAGTCATGTTTACCTTATCAATGCTATTTCCTAACTATTTTCCTTGTCCTTGAACTATCGGCCCCACCCCAAAATCTATTCTAGATGTTCTGTTTCATTATTCAGTGGAAAAACCCAGTACCATCATTTGTGAGCAATCTTCACTTTTCTCCAACTTAGGAGGCAAGTGTGTAACTTTTTCTTCTTTTCCCACTGCCTTACTGTTTTAAAAGTTTTCTGCCTCTGCATTCTTGGTCCCACTCTTTACCAATTTCAGTCTCCTAGTTTTATATTTATCATTATTAGCATAAAATACCTTAGAAAATTTTTAAAATTAAATATTTAATCAATGTTGAGTTGGGGACAGTGTTTTGTATGTGTTAAAATCTTTATAACCTAATAGCATCTAATTCAAGCAGAATGAAAAGTAATTCAAAATAAATTTCAAAATGAAGCAGTTTCGGCCACACTGTAATCTACTTAATAAGTTTGGGATGAAATATGAACTTAAATCAAGTTGTAACTAAATTTCCAAGCTCAAAAACACGGCAAACTCACTTCACAGCAACGATACTAAACAATAATGTGACCCCATTTCAAAAATTTCACACAATCACTGTGCATACTGTAAGAACACAACTTGGAGGTTTTTCACAAACCAAACAAAGCCATATAATGAACATCTAGATGAAGAAAAAGAACATGACCAACACCTCCCAAAGACCCCTCCTGCTTCCTTCTAGTTATTGCAAAGCCGCTGGTGACCAATATTCTGATTTCTAACACAATAGTTTTATGGCTATTATTTAAAATTGAGAATTTAAGCAGAAACTTCTCAATGTTATAAGTATTTGCTTATTTTATTTCATTGTAGTGGACAACTATAGTAGAGCAAGAGAGTTAGAAGTGAAATAAATACTACTCTGTATAAGGGTTAAACATAGATGCAAACTGAAGCAGAGGGCTTTTAGCTTCTTGTTACACTAGACTTCTGGGAAACCCTGTCAGATAGCCCTGGGCTTTCAGGGAGCAGGAAAGGCCGGTGCAGAAGTGTGAGCAGCAGTGAGATGCAATAGTTTTCCCAGACACGTACACAGGATAAGGAAGTCAGGTACTGGGACTATAACTTTGCAATAGCCCAGGCGAACTTCAGAGTGTCATCCTGAGGATTTTTATCATACTTTGCTTTTGTTAACTCTCACACACTTTTAGAGAAGCAAAGGTTCTTCCTTTGTTGACCCTCATATGCAAGAATACTTTTCAGTTACAAAATAGGTTCCTTGGCTCCAAGTCTGATACTTATACTAAAACCAGATAAACCAGATAAGAAAGTACCAACATGAACTTTTTTTTTTTTTAAAGATTTTATTTATTTATTTGACAGACAGAGATCACAAGTAGGCAGAGCAGTAGGCAGAGAGAGAGGAGGAAGCAGGCTCTCCACCGAGCAGAGAGCCTGATGCGGGGCTTGATCCCAGGACTCTGGGATCATGACCTGAGCCGAAGGCAAAGGCTTTAACCCACTGAGCCACCCAGGTGCCCCGCAACATGAACTTTTTAAAAAATATTTTATTTTATGGACTTGTATGGCCAAGAATTCCCAGGCTTTTGCCTAGAATTTGGATAGAAATTTGGTACTAATTGTATTAAATACTGGGTTAGGCAAATGTGTGTCTTCAAGAGGAGTTGGCAGTACCCACTGAAAAGGCAAAAATTAAATAAATATACTTCTTAAGACAGCTGGAATTTCTTGAAAATTGTCCTGTTTTTCCTTTAGAATTTTAAGGTTTGATCATTTTCCAGGATCAACAAATAATAAACGGAATTTAGTGTCAGAGTCAAATGAAAGTGGGAACAAAGCTAATCTAGCTCATGTTTTAAATTATGAGAATCCTTAGTTTGCTTTAAGTGGGCATGACAGACAGACTCTTAGTATGAATTCTATGACCTCTGGCTTCTCAGTATTCTTTGTGTGATT